GTAGTGAGAAGAGACAGGGAAACACTTTTTGATAGACCACATTGTGCTTGGCCTCTGCTCAAGGTTAGGCTGCGTGCTGAAGATTGAACTATTATACTCTGGGTTTCTATACTCTGGATTAGTAATTCATAAAATATTCTGAGTTGGAAGGGACTCACAAGGATCCTCAAGTCTGACTCTTACATGAATGGCCCATATGGGGATCAAACCCACAACTTTGCTGTTATTAGAGCCATGCTCTGACCAGTTAGACTCAGTGGCTATATTAACCTCTATATAACACCCATATTTTCTTCATAGGGATTCAAGACCAGTTATGTGTTATTTACACTGGCCTTGTGAATCACTAGTGATCCTCATATCTAAGGCTTTTAATTTTTTTGGTTTTATACTCTGACTGCATAATCTGAGTATCCTAAATTTCTTAGTTTAGAGTACAAGATACACTGTTGTGTACGCTCAGGAAACCTCATGGTAACCCCTCAGCACGTGTATGGTAGCAGCTTCATCTCTTTCATGAGCACAGTCCTGAACACAATCAGTTCTAGCCACAGCAGGACTGTGAGCTCTGCAGCTGACACAGGCTATCCATGTTGGATGATTTAATTTCTACGTATTGTTGTCCTCTGCCTTAATGGCAGTGTGATATTTGTCCACTTTGTGATCCTGGTTATTCACAATAGATATGCTTGTATTGAGGGAGGCGCTGCAAGATCTTGATTCAAAACTGTACAGACTTCTTGAATGTTCATCAGGATAGTGGTTATAGCTGTCTGCCTCCTTGCATCTTAGCAATGGTCTGTTCTCAGGGGATTTTTATTATGTTCTTACTGTGCTGTACACTAGACTCATGGTTAGTGAATATCACCACAGTAGTTGCTAGAAACCACCATCTTTTCCTCTTTGGATTTTCTTTAGCAACAACCTCACAGCTCTTGGATCTCTCAGGTTCCTCAGACACTAATGTTCTAGATAAAGAGGGATGTTATCTGGCACTTGCATGATAGAATTTATTGTGGAGCTTTAATTTATTAGTACTTTACAAATGCTTGTGAGAACCTGAACATGTTATAAAATACAAGTATTACGCTGTCTACTAAGAAGGAAAAAAAAATCTTAACAGCTAACAACTCCCATGTATGTCCTTACAAATGCATTCAGAATTGCAAGTAGCAGGAAAGAATTTGTTTATCACAGAATGTCCTTGGCAGTCACTGCTGTGTGATGGAGTCTCTTGTGTACAATGTTGCTACTGTTTAGTAGTCACTTCTCATTAAAATCTATTTTTTGTTCCCCTCTTTAGATGATATCTTCTCTAGCAGCCAAGTCAAGATACCTACTCCTAAAACCAGATCTTCCCAAGCAGCCTCAGAACCAAAATCTGAAAGCAAGATCCTGAGCACATTTGATGACCCGCTGAATGCCTTTGGAGGCCAGTAGTCAAGGGGATGTGTTGCAGAGAAGCAGCCTTCCTTAGCCCTGTCCAGTACTAATACTCTGGATTCTCTAATTCACTAGAACTGGAATGAGATGGACATGCATATTTAAGTGAGATTACCCATTTAAAATGGTTAGTATTCTCTTGTGCTAGTCTAATTCTGCTAAATTATATATTTTTTAAAAAATACAGTAACCTCCTGCTATCATGTTTCCATGGTGCCGAGATGAATACAGCCTGTGCAATACCTGCAATGAAGTAATCTATTATATAAAGTATAGTTTGTTTTATTGAACAGATCTATAGATAAAATAATTGATAAATAGTAAATGGAGTCTGTTAAACTTGATCTGTCTGCACGTCTTACTTTCCTCTTCTTGCTTAGAATGTGTGCATCATGACTTGAGTGCTACCAAAACCATTTCCGTGCCTTGTCTGGGTCAGCTGCCATCTACTGAGCTAGTGGGAGGGTAAGGCTGGGTTCAGTACCAGGTACAGCTTCTCTTACAGATGGAGCAGTTAGGAAATCTCAGAGCAGGACTTGTCACCAGCTCTAATGAGGTATTTTCATATAGGCAGCTAATGTGGGTTGTAAAAATAACAACAGTTAATGCTGCTTTGCCAGGGAAAGTGTGTTACAAATGAGCACCAAGCGGTCCATGAAGACAACAGAAACCTAACAGTGTCTTCTGTTCAAGCTGTAGGCCATTAAATGAGATTTTTCACCTGCATGGAGCTGCCAGAGTTTTGCAAATAAGTGTTTTCACAAAGTCCATCTGTCCAGAGCACGCTTGGTCACTTCCAGGCTGACAGGCTGACTTTGTGGAAAGACTCTTTTGTGCCTAAAGGTCTGCTTTCCCCTCTCCTCCATAACACAGTGTAGGCTGTATACAGGAGGTTGCTGCTCTGGAATCCCTCTAACCATGGAATGTATTTGGTCTAACTGCTTCCTGTATTTTCTAGATTGCCTTCTGAAACAGATGCCATTAACTGTACTTGATACCCAGCGGTAGACACTTGCTCTCCTGCATGCACACAAGGAGAGCAAATGCATACATGCAGGAGGATCAAATGTTTATTTTATTTTATTGTACAAGTGACTGCCTGCAATTCTGACTAGATTCACTGCTTTTATGATAGTGACTACTTTATCTTGGACTCTTTAAGACTGTTCTGCTGTGAATTTAAAGCATGTGCTCAGAGGACTTCTTTGAGATCAACTCCCACTTGCACTGCAGTCCCCATTCTGAGACATCTGCTTCAGTCCCTTGTTTCTCAAGTTGAATTTCCTTTATCAGGCACAGTAAATACTACAGCTGAAACATCTAGCACTAATGAGGGTAAAGCAGAAGGAAAGGTTGGAAGGGATAAAGGAGAAACATGATGTATTGATTTGCACCATAGGTGGGCCTGGCAATGATTCATGTTAAGTGGGGATTAAGCTGAGAGTAGCAGCTTGAAAAAGAGTGTGGGGGCTATTTGCAAATGGGTGTCTGCAGTGAAAGCACTTGAACTTTTATTTATAGGCATTACATCTGCTACATATGCCTTGTATGTGATCTGGACTGCTTCTTTACTCCTTTCTTCTGTGCTTAGAAGGGGTTCAAAGATATGATGACGAAGAAAAAGATGGTAAATTCTTCGGTTTCTTTTCTGCATCTTTCTTCTTGGCCCTTCACATTAATAACTTCCATTAACATGAACAGCAGAGAGGGCTGTTCACAAGCTTAAGAACCCTGAGGGCTAAAAGCTCTTGGAGCAGGAAAAAAAAGCTCCTGCCTTAGTGTTTCTTAAACTTTCATGTGAAAGCTCAGCAGAGAAAAGCTCTTCATAGTGCAAGTTTCTATGATGTAGATCAGAACCTTTGTTCCCACCTAGTCTTTCTAAACTGGCAGACAGAGAGTGTTGGTGCCCTTCCTTGTCTCTCTTCACATATTAAAATGAGTTCTAGGCACTTCACTTCTGGGAGGGCTTGGTCTGAGAGGTGGTATTTTGAACTGGGTTTAGGCTAGACGGTTTGGTTTTGGGTTGTGTTGGTTTTCTGGTGATTTGGGGGTTTTTTGTATGTTGCTTTTCAGATTTGGTTTTTGGCTTTTTATGCAAATTTGATAAACCACAGCTGCATATTTCTGGAAGGGCAGAGCTGAAGGCTCAGTATTACAGCACCCAGAAGCTCTGACAGGTTCCCATACCTGCTACATGCTTCTCAAAAGTCATTATTTTAACTGGGCCTGAAACCGAACAGTGAGTCAGGGTAGGTCTTGCATATTTTAAAACCTAAATGGAAAGTAAAGTGGTTAATGTAATTAGCACCTGCTAATAGGATGAGCTTGTTTTCTCTAGCCTGTGATCGTCCGCGGGCCCGCTGCTTCTGGAGCTTGCCCTGGCTCACCTCACGCTGAACTGGGAGCGGAATGGAGCGCTGCCCTTCAGTGAAGGTGCCCCAGAGCAGTGCCTGGC